TAGTCCCGGTCGAGTCCTGCTGTAGTCCTGTTATAGTCCCGGTCGAGTCCTGTTCTAGTCCCGGTCGAGTCCTGCTGTAGTCCTGTTATAGTCCCGGTCGAGTCCTGCTGTAGTCCTGTTCTAGTCCCGGTCGAGTCCTGCTGTAGTCCTGTTATAGTCCCGGTCGAGTCCTGTTCTAGTCCCGGTCGAGTCCATTAGTCGTCTCTCGTTTGCGTGGGGATTATTCGTTTTCTCTCGTTCCTCCGGCGGCTTCGTTAGGACTAATTGAATATTGACGTTCTCGGTCGAGGCTAAGTGGTTTCGGTCGGAGGTTTTAACCCGCGCCGTCTCCCCAGGGGCATGCTGGGTAATGAGGGGGTTGCCGTGGAAACCGCTCCCAGGCCCCCGGCGAAGGGAACGAACGAGAAAAAAACGACAACAAAGAGAGAGAGAGGGAAAAAAAGAAAGAAAGAGAGGAAGAGAGCGAGGTTTAAATGATGTCATGTGGATTAAAACGGACTAACGCAGGCCTAAATGAGTCCTGGTTTAGTCCACATTTAGTCCATGTTTAGTCCTGATTTAGTCCTTGTATAGTCCTGGTTTAGTCCTGGTTTAGTCCTGATTTAGTCCTTGTATAGTCCTGGTTTAGTCCTGGTTTAGAGCTGGTTTAGTCCTGGTTCAGTCCTGGTTCAGTCCTGGTTTAGACCTGGTTTAGTCCTTGTATAGTCCTGGTTTAGACCTGGTTTAGTCCTGGTTTAGTCCTGGTTTAGTCCTGGTTTAGTCCTGGTTTAGTCCTGGTTTAGTCCTGGTTTAGTCCTGGTTTAGACCTGGTTTAGACCTGGTTTAGTCCTGGTTTAGTCTTGGTTCAGTCCTGGTTTAGTCCTTGTATAGTCCTGGTTCAGTCCTGGTTTAGTCCTGGTTTAGTACTTGTATAGTCCTGGTTTAGACCTGGTTCAGTCCTGGTTTAGTCCTGGTTTAGTCCTGGTTTAGTCCTGGTTTAGTCTTGGTTCAGTCCTGGTTTAGTCCTTGTATAGTCCTGGTTCAGTCCTGGTTTAGTCCTGGTTTAGTCCTGGTTTAGTACTTGTATAGTCCTGGTTTAGACCTGGTTCAGTCCTGGTTTAGTCCTGGTTTAGTCCTGGTTTAGTCCTGGTTTAGACCTGGTTTAGACCTGGTTTAGTCCTGGTTTAGTCCTGGTTTAGTCCTGGTTTAGACCTGGTTTAGTCCTGGTTTAGTCCTGGTTAGTCCTGGTTTAGTCCTGGTTTAGACCTGGTTCAGTCCTGGTTTAGTCCTGGTTCAGTCCTGGTTTAGACCTGGTTTAGTCCTTGTTTAGTCCTGGTTTAGACCTGGTTTAGTCCTGGTTCAGTCCTGGTTTAGACCTGGTTTAGACCTGGTTTAGTCCTGGTTTAGTCCTGTTTAGTCCTGGTTTTAGTCCTGTTTAGTCCTGGTTTAGTCCTGGTTTAGTCCTGGTTTAGACCTGGTTTAGTCCTTGTATAGTCCTGGTTTAGTCTGGTTTAGACCTGGTTTAGTCCTGTTTAGTCCTGGTTCAGTCCTGGTTTAGTCCTGGTTTAGTCCTGGTTTAGACCTGGTTTAGTCCTGGTTTAGTCCTGGTTTAGTCCTGGTTTAGACCTGGTTTAGTCCTGGTTTAGTCCTGGTTTAGTCCTGGTTTAGTCCTGGTTTAGACCTGGTTTAGTCCTTGTATAGTCCTGGTTTAGTCCTGGTTTAGACCTGGTTTAGTCCTTGTATAGTCCTGGTTCAGTCCTGGTTTAGTCCTGGTTCAGTCCTGGTTTAGACCTGGTTTTAGTCCTGGTTTAGACCTGGTTTAGTCCTGGTTTAGACCTGGTTTAGTTCTTTGTTTCAGTCTGTATATTAAAGTCTCGGCTCGAGTCTCTGGAGGTTTTCGTGATAAATGGGACTCGGACTCGGCCACCTTCAGAGGACCGGCCCAGAACTAAACCAGGACTAAAGATGAATGTGTCTGGGCCCCGGGTCACGGTCCGGGATCTCGACCGGTTTAGAGGTGGGTCCAAGAGGTCTAACCGAGGTCCACGCGGTCCAGAGGGAACAGATAAAGACAAAGCGACGGAAAACAGGGGGCAGGTGCAGGTGCAGGAGCGGCAGGTGCAGGAGGCAGGTGCAGCGGCAGGTGCAGAGGAAACGCAAGGTCAAAAAAATAAACTGCGGCTTTAAACGGGACATATTTCATACTTTTCTGATCTTTGTTCTAATGTGAATAAAACAACGCTCTGTTCCACCTTGTGATGTCATCGTGTGGCGATACAGGAAGTGCTCCACTGTGTTTTTAAACTCCTCACGTCTTCACTAGAATCAACTGGATCATTTCAAACCTGGAATTACAAATCTGTACTGGACTAAAGGTAAAAGAAGCTGCTAGACCTGGTTTAGACCTGGTTTAGTCCTGGTTTAGACCTGGTTTAGTCCTGGTTTAGACCTGGTTTAGACCTGGTTTAGACCTGATTTAGACCTGGTTTAGACCTGCTTTAGTCCTGGTTTAGACCTGGTTTAGTCCTGATTTAGACCTAGTTTAGTCCTGGTTTAGACCTGGTTTAGACCTGGTTTAGTCCTGGTTTAGACCTGGTTTAGACCTGATTTAGACCTGGTTTAGACCTGCTTTAGACCTGGTTTAGACCTGGTTTAGTCCTGATTTAGACCTAGTTTAGTCCTGGTTTAGACCTGGTTTAGTCCTGGTTTAGTCCTGGTTTAGACCTGGTTTAGACCTGATTTAGACCTGGTTTAGACCTGCTTTAGACCTGCTTTAGTCCTGGTTTAGACCTGGTTTAGTCCTGGTTTAGTCCTGATTTAGACCTAGTTTAGTCCTGATTTAGACCTGGTTTAGTCCTGATTTAGACCTGGTTTAGACCTGGTTTAGACCTGATTTAGACCTGGTTTAGACCTGATTTAGACCTGATTTAGTCCTGGTTTAGACCTGGTTTAGTCC